ACAAGGCTTAAAAATATTTATCTGTATTTATATTTTTTTATATATTTATCTAATATTTATCTTTAAAAAGTCACGAAGAGTGACGGCAAGTTGAGTGACTTACTATTTCCAACGTTTATGTTAACTTCTATCGAAATTGCCAACTCCTATTGGCTATTCTGAGAAGTTAACGGTCGGTTAAAAGTTAATAGGAGCACGATTATTAAATTTATTTGCAATAGAAACGTGTGCGCAATCTCCATTCTTACGAAAAATCTACAAGTTGATTGGTTAAAGATTACGTGATTGGCTCTTACTTTTAGAACCAACCAATCAACGCAGAGCGTTGATAAGACGAACTCAACAGTTGTGTCTGCTGAACGCGGCCATTGGTCCCCGTCTCTTTTATCGGCGAGTCGCTAATTTACCTATGTTACTTGCGCCGTGAAAAGAACGCGCGAACGTTGAGCGGCTTTGATTTCCGAGAATTCCGAGCGCCATTCCGCCATTTCGAACCCGTGTCTTTTTCTACGCAGAAATAGTGTCGATTAATCAAGTTAAATATATACGGAAGTAAGTTTTGATTTCTATAACGTATATATCTAGTAGATAAACTTTATTTTACGCCTTACGCACACTTACGCGTAACGAAGAAATCGTTTCGATCAAAGATCAGCAATTCCGTGTTCGAAATTATACGATCGTTGTACGACTTGGTACGGACTTGCTTCCCAAGTAGAACAGCAATTAAGTCACAATAGAATCAAAATAATGTCAAAATGATGGCAAATTGACGATGTTTGGCCATTTTATCATCGTTTTGACGTAATTTTGACTTTATTGTGACTTTCTGTTCTACCTGGGTTGAATCGCGAGAGAAATCAGTAGTCTCGCAAAAATTACATTTTACGATCAATTTTCAGCAAGATGTCGGAAATGATTGAATTGAACTGGATGATCTGCAACAAGTGCTTCGCCCCGTTCTACAGAGGAAAGCGTCCCTATCACGTCACCCAGTGTGGCCATATTTCCTGCCAGAATTGTTTGCAGCAAGGTAAACTTCGAGAAAAATTTCTCGCGCGTTACGATCTATTTTCCACGATTTCAACCGTTCACCACTTGTGGCTTTTACAGTCGAGCAGCAATGTCCGCAATGCCAGCATGGCACCATGGCGCTGGCCCTGCAGGATCCGCTGATGCCGAAATTAATCCCGTACTTTCAGCCGTTCACCGAGATTGTGGAAATGCAGTTGATGAAAGTCAACATGTTCCGGGACAACCAGATGAAAATATTGATGCACCGCTTTACTGAACTCGTACATAAAATTCTTATCGCTTTTGGTTTCTCCTAGTCCTAATAATTAATCTTACGATCTTGTACCTATAATATCGCTTTTATATGTATATTAAATCTTTATATTTTTTTGAATTTTTGTATCGACGATACGCTCTTAAGGATAAGAAGTACGAGTTGCTGAAGACCCGATTTTGGCCTGCACAACGCAATTTTAAGGCATTGGTGGATAAGTACACGAGCGTGAAGAACGAGAAGGATAAGCTCGAGAAGAAGCTGATGTTCTATCAGACGCACAGAGTAACTCCTCCGCAATCTGGATACCGCGGGATGGAAATAACGCCATCCGACTCCGGTATCTCTGTGCCGACCTCGCACTCATCAGTAAGGTAAAGTGCAAAAGCTTTGAACAATGCAAAAAGGACGATCGGTACTGCATCCCCGAAAATCGGAGTAACAAAAACGGATCTTCTTTTTTTAGATTCACGTAAACTTAACGCATAAACTGCGGTCCACTTAACGCTACAAATGTTTCGAAGCAGCAATAATGTATTCCTCTTCTCTTTTCTTTCAATGAAGAAAGAAGGAGAAGGAGAACGCTTCGAGACATTTGTAGCATCAAATGGACTGCAGCTATAAAATTGTGCTATTTAATAGTATTATAAGTTTCGACAAACGGTTAATGCAACGTATCGTCATTCTGCATAATTCGAATACCTGTAAATAATTTGAAAATAAAATAATATATGATATTTGTTTTCATTGCTGTTTGTAGGTGCTCCATGGAATCGTCAGATCGTCTGAAATCCATGATCGTAACGCCCACGTTGAACGGTTCAGAATTCAACATGGACATAACGCCCATGGGATCGATTGATCTGAATAGGACAGCGCGCAGAACTGCTGATGGGTTACGTTTTCGCCGTAACCGTAAACCTCCGCAATCTATGGATTCCCAAAATATGTTATCTTAAATTGTAGTTTTATAACAAGAGGCAAATTTTTTTCGTTATTCATTATACTCTTTCATAATTATATTATCTCGAGTTCGCAGTGTCACTTTATTTTATTTACGTACAAACGAGAACGCGAACTTTCGTTGTAATTAAAGATTAAACAAATACGATCTTAAATATGTGAAGAAAAACGTAAATTATTTTTATGGTAATACGTAAAAAAAATTGTGAATTACTTTTGTTATAAATTGTAGCGAAGAAATGAATTTGAGATATACGTTTAATTTAATATATTTTTTTTATCAAGATACATTGAGTTCTTTTTTCTTATCACTTTTACATTCGCAAATCAGGTACGTGATGTATAGTTGACATGAACGGAACATAGATTTCGATATATTCTAAAACTTTTATTGGTCATTTCAGATATACATATATTACATAATCTATTATTCATTCTTCAGACTTATGCGTCTATCACAGATATGATACCCAGATTCGAATTCGCATTTGAATCCACACTTTGAATTTAAAGCGACAATGGCTGCGTTCAGCCGAACCTCGATCTGCTTAGCGAATAAGCGAAAGGTAGCAATTAAGTGTAATTGGTTGGATCCAAAGGTAAGAACCAATCACATTCAGTTGCTACCTTTCGTTTCGCTAAGCAGAGGTTCGGCTGGACACGGCCATTCATTCGATTGATAAAATAGGCACAACCCAACTCGGGTTGGGTTGAAAGTTGAAATCCCGCGGCCCAATCGAAAACGCTAAATAAGATGGCAGCAATGCGGAGTTCGCAATTACGCGCATGCGTAAAAAGACCCTATCTGTCTAGCACCCTAGCGACGCTGGCTTGCCTCCTTTTTACGTTCACGTGTAATCGAGCGTGCACGGTGCCGCGGTAAATAAATTACGAATCGCAGGTAATCTATCGCGATGAGATCCATCGATTTCGCGTAAACGCGACGAACGGCGCGTTGAATCCGTTTACGTATCCCGGCGATCGTATTTAACGATCAGAGCCAAGCGTTCGCGTGATATCGAGGCGCGAAGTGAACCGGTGCAACCGTCCCGTCGCTTCTCATCGCACAGCTGTTTCTTCTTTCAAATTGCGAAAAAAGTGTGTCCCGTGAACACGATCGTTACGCTTATAATCGAAGGATCTTATTAAATTCACTTTTCATGTGTCGTGCGACAATTATGTTCATTGTGTCTTTTACAAAGTTTAGGTTAGGTTAGCTCTCGTTGTGAGAATCTACGAACGAAAGTGCAATGTCTGCATTTGTGTAGCATCTAGGCTGCGGTCCACTTGACGCTACAAATGCTTTGAAGCGTTCTTCTTCTCCTTCTTTCTTCATTGAAGGAAAGGAGAAGAAGAAATGCTTTGAAGCATTTGTAGCATCAAGTGGACCGCAGCCCTAGTTGTACGTTGTAATCATTTTTCACGTAGCCGATGATAGTTTTTGAGAGTTAAGATCCCCGTAGGGTCTATACATATGTCGAGAGATGATGCATTGTTGCATGTGTAAATATGTGTATGTTGCTTGACTGATGCTTACGACGTTTGGTTTTTCAGCCATGGTGCGTATGAACGTTCTCAGCGACGCCCTGAAGTCCATCAACAATGCCGAGAAGCGTGGAAAGCGGCAGGTGCTATTGAGACCCTGCTCCAAGGTGATCGTCAAGTTCTTGACCGTCATGATGAAGCATGGTGAGTGAGAATCCAGGGTAATTCGCAGAGTATTTTAATTATACGTTCCCATACAGCGCAGATTGATGCAGAAAGCTTCCCGAAAGGTTTCAAAGTTGCAGAAAGCTTCCAGAAAGGTTTGAAACCTTTCTGCACGGGGATTCTCTAACTCTTTAACAACAGTTTCGATATCGTTGCACAGGTATTATATATGGTGAAAAAGCTGCGCAACGATACCGAAACTGTCGTGAAGGAGTTAGAGAATCCTTGTGCTGGAAGCTTTTTGCAACAATCTGGCTGCGGTCCACTTGACGCTACAAATGCTTCAAAGCATTCCTCTTCTCTTTTCTTTCAATGAAGAAAGAAGGAGAAGAAAAACGCTCCAAAGAATTTGTAGCGTCAAGTGGACCGCAGCCTCTGTGCTGTATGGGTTGCTTTCCCTATACTTGTGTATACAATAATTCATGTATACATAATTTTTATGAACGTTGCTTCTACGATTTATAGAAACATAGAAAGAATTGTATCTCGTAGTCCTTTTCATGAGCTATAACGATAGATTTACTTAAACGTAACTCGCTGTTGAATGCAGGGTACATTGGAGAGTTTGAAATCGTGGACGACCACCGCAGTGGGAAGGTAGTGGTGAACCTTACCGGAAGGTTAAACAAATGCGGCGTTATCTCGCCTAGATTTGACGTACCTATCAACGACATCGAGAAGTGGACCAACAACCTCTTGCCTTCTCGACAATTTGGGTAAGTGTTTATCTATATGTACAATATATGACAAATCTTTTACATTTGCCTTATGAATCAAGAAATAAATTTGTTCTTATTTATTTCAATATTTTGACGAAATAAGTTACGTGTACAATAACATAGTACGTTATAATAAACTGGAAGAAAATTTAATAAGGTATACTTAAAAATTGTTCGGCTCAAGCAAAAAGTACGTACGGAGTTATAAAATTAATTAGTATTATACAGCACCGATATCTTAACGTACACGTCTCAATTCAGTTTTAAAAAGGAAACAATTATACAATACATATTTATTCATGTTTATATCTCAGATACGTTGTGCTGACAACTAGCGGGGGAATTATGGATCACGAGGAGGCCAGGAGGAAACATCTTGGAGGAAAAATACTGGGATTTTTCTTCTAACTTTTTAGTTAAGTAAATAAAAGTGTAAAAACAAAGATGTTACGTCTAAAAGCAATCTCTCGATGAAAACCGAATGTTCCACCGAAATTTTTACTCCATAACTCCGCAACGATTTTATTTATAAAGCATGCTTTTAAAACGGAGAGTTTTCACAAGCTGCGGTTTTTCCCCACTCGGAAAGTTCCTCGTTTGTCTTTTATCGTTGATTCCGATGTTGTAGTTAGATTGGCTTGCCTCGCTCGTCTTATTATATCCCTGAGAAATCGTTTCGCATAATCATCGTTACATATCGACTAACTGCACGAGAAGACATTTGATTACCGGGAGCAGAAAGGAGGAGGAGAATCAACGAGGCCGTCGCGAGTCAAGATACGTCTGTCCAGGAGTCGGATCAGATGTTCATACGGATCGTCGGGTCGGCGCAGCAGGAGCTCGCCGAGCAGGGAATCGACGAGATCGTGAATCTCTTTTCGTTTCAAATAGGACACCGCCTCTCGTTCCCGCGTGTTTTGCGCGTGCCCGTCGCACGTTCCTCGTTGCTCCGAAGACGAGCTCGAACGATCCTCCATCCTGCCTCCTCTCTCTTCGTCGTCATGGATTTGGAATTTTAAATAATCGCGAGATAAACAAAAACATCCGGAAGCTTTTTAATCGTCCAATGAGATGGTAGGATCGTTGCCCTCTCTCCCCGGTAATTATTTAATTTAATTTTTGGATAAAAAAAACGCAATGTTATTAACTCAGAATTGCCAACCTGCCGAGAAATAAATTATCCTAGATAGTCATCGATTCGGAACTGCCAATGTGGAAAATAAATTCCCCATGATTAAATGATTCGTGTGGGAATAGGAGAAATCTGCCGTATCGGCACAACCACTACCGTGTGGTCGTGTTGACGTGTTGTTCAAGGACGGTGTACCCGCGGATGGGAGTAAATTGTCTTTCCAGTGTTCCTGTCGGTCTCTCTTAATTATTCTGTTGTCTCATCAGTCCACGTCGATCTTTAGCGGCATTTGGCGTTGATTCCGGCGCAACTGAAATACTCGACGGGTCGAGCCATGGCATTGTCGAGATGCGGCAGCGTGGAGATGCTGAACACCTTGACTCGCGTCTCGCGCACAGGTACGAATCGTTTCTCGCAAATACACATTATTATCTCGCTCCGTTTTATGTGTAGAAATACGTACGATGTTGCGGAGACCAGTGTGCTCCGTCTCTTTTTTTTGCAGCTTGAGATGTCCGTCGAAGATACTAGAAATGACGTAATCAACTACTTCTAACTTGTCAATTTATCACGATTGTATCAGATAGAACGCTTTATTTATGTTTTTTGAAGTTATTTGGAATATTTCGGGGCATTTATAGTGCTGCAATTGTAATTTAAATTAGCTCTTTTCTTTTTTCAAATTCCATAGACATATCGATGACTGTATGCTGGTTTTTTCCATGATATCAACAGTATTAATTATACAATGTGTCTGATTGTGAGTCTTTAATGTTTTGACGTTGAGATGTATACATTTATGAGAAATTCATAATTTGTTCAAAGATAACTTGTGACAGCTATAGTAGTTTTATCCATATGATTTTTATTACAATATTCTATCTTATACTTTGCGAAATATATCATGGAGCATAATTAACAATTATCTTTATATTACATGTAATTCTAACATAAGATTTAATTTATATATACATCTCATTTCAATCTCATTATACCTTATTAATTTTAATTTTTTATTAATTTATTTGTTAATTCCTGCCTTAAGCCCCTTTGGACATACACTTTTATACATATTTTATACTTTTTTCTTGACATAAAATAACATAATAAAACAATTATAATAAAATATAATTCTTTTCTGTTCTATTTCTTAAAGTATCTTAAAGTATGATCATTAAACATCTGAATATTTGAATATAAGTAAATCCGAGTATAAATAAAAGTGTAAACATAAACATAAATGTTAATTTGTTAACTTCTAGATTTCTGATATTTCAACAAATTAGTTATACTATAATCTTTCTGTTATCCTTTTCAGTTTTGCATTCTCCTTTTTCTTTCTTTCTTCTTCTTGGTCTTATTATACTTCATTACAATGTTTTACTCCTTTTCTTTGCACTCTTGTCCTTTCTAGGGCAAAATAATCACTCCCTACATAATAAAATCCTAACACGACATACAACACAATAAGTGTGTAATATATTAACATAATTTCTTAATTTTGTAGCATTCCTGGAGATGCAGTGTGCGACTTCAGCGGCAGTTCACCGGAAGCAGCAGCCGCTGCACCTGACCAGCGCACGTTGCTATCCAGATCCACCGACTCTGACTCTGCCGATTAACGTTTGTGACATCTTCGCCAACGAGACCGGTCGCTTCGCGCCGGAACGCGCGCGCGACATCGCCCTGTACGCTGAGAACGGCGGCAGCGCCGTCTCTGCGGCGAATTGCTCCGGATTTCCCGAGATCCGCGACGACAGCCACGTGGACTCGTACGATTGTTTCGGCGCGGTCAGCCTGAACGGCACGATGCAGAGCAACGTGCCGAAGCCGTTCTCCTCGTGCGGCAAGTCCACGCACCTTAACATGCCCGGCGGACAGTGGTCCCGCGACAACAAATACATCGCCGAGGATATGCAGCGCTCCCACTACCGCAAGTTGTCGTGTAAGGACGACCTTTGAGTGGGTTCTCTGGAGGGTAGAGGTGCTTTCCTCGTCTTCGCTTTCCTAAGACTCGCATCTTTTGTGTCCCTACTGTGTTCTCTGAATCCTAGAAGATAACATGATACCTTCGATCTCGGGGGTCTAAATTAACCCTAGAACGCATGAGAGGGGTCGATTTCGACCCCAGGCGAACTTTGAAAAACGCTCCTGAGCTAGCGAGTGACATTATTGTCGAGTCTTTAAATGGATTTTTCACTAACTAAACTTGAGTAAAATTAAATTTACCGCATACCATTCTCTTCGTTATTAAAAAACGAAGAAATTCATGTAGGTTTAAAAGCGATATTGCCCCCAGTCATGCGTTAGAAGGTCAAAAAAATGATACATGCGTTCTAGGGTTAAATGTCGAAAGACTGGAGAACGTTTAAGTTCCAATTATGGAACATATTATCTGAATATCAATATCGAAAGATTGAAATGTCAAATTAAATAAAATAATTAAATAAGATCCTTCGCGGATGATATACAGATCTAAAAACTTGATAATTCATGTAATTTGCTGGGATTCAAAGATTAACGTTCCAAAAATTTATAATATTTCCACGACAATCTAATATTACATTTGCAAAAGGACTTTATTCCCTTCCTACGTCACATCAATGTTGTACATATATTAGCACATTGGATAGTCACAAAAGCTCTGTCGAAGATTTTTATACACTTGAGGATTTGCCGATTCTTAAGTTGGATCTTCAAGGTAAATGAGAACTGAGCAAGCTTTTGTGGCCATTCGCCATCAGGAATTCACATTGGGCAAATTATATGTCGCTCAGGTACCGCAACTAATGCCTTCATAACGAGCCCGCTTTTACGAGCGACATATTGGCCAATTTGTACCATCAGAATGAGCTACTCGACCGACAACTCCAAGGCGGCTCAGAAGAGTCAGGTCGCGGTGCCGATGTCCCCAATGACGAAGAAGGAAAGATTTCGCCTAATGTTGAGGGATTATGGAGGCACCCTTCTCGCCTTTCATATCACTATATCACTGATAAGCCTCGGTGTTTGTTACACGGTGGTCATTAGGTCAGTCATACGTTCCCTGGGGTTTGTCTAAAAATCGTACCCTCTCTTGTAACTGAAATATCTAACATCGAATATTTGATATATGTATATATAACCGAAATTTTCACGCACAATCGAAGATTTCAATCAAAATCGAAAATTTAATATCAAAATGGAAAATATTTGAGCAAATTATTTGTGACAAATGATCGATTAAAATTTCTCAAGTGTGCAATTTTTGGTACACTATATATAACTAGCTTTCATGGTTTGGCTTTTTGTGTTAATTTTTATATGTATTAATTTTTCGTATAACATGAGAATTCTCAGAATAAAATAACAGAAAGTGAGAGCGTTTCAGTTTTTCTTATCATTATTAGTAAGCATTAAATTGTCATTTTATCTTTTGAGATTTATCTTGAGAAAATGTATCACAATCTTTTTTTCTAATAATTCTAATTCTTGATTTCAGCGGGATCGATGTAACGCCGTTCGTGCAAAAGTGGACAGGCGGGAATGAACAGATAGATAGCCTGTTGAAAACCTCGACGGACTTCATAATAGCGTACACAGTTCACAAAGTGCTCGCACCTGCTCGAATAGGGATATCCTTAACCGTGACTCCACCGCTTGTAAGACGTCTGAGGAAAATGGGCTTGCTTAAGATGCCGAAACAAAAACCATCACCACCGTCACCACTAACGCCACCACCACCGCCAGCGTCCTCGTAAGAGCTCCAAAATAATTATTTCTTTTACAAAAAGATTTAGTTATTAAACATCGTATTTCGATGAGAGATGACTAATAATAATGGAGCCATTTTCAAATGCGGTGGTAGGGCTGTGAAAAGAAATTTTTAAAAGTCGCAAAAAGTGAGATTTCTCAACGAGCAGGATACAATTCCTTTTGTAAATGATATCTGTTGTATGTATTGTATAGGATAACTTGTACAAATTTAAATGAATCGATAGTTTTGATAATAGAGAAATTTTGCTATTGGATAAATTGATGTATATAGGCAAGGCTATTATCTTCTTCCGTATAATTCAAAAGCTTAAAATTTTAATACAATTTTTATCCGCACATAAAAGGTGTAGGCATTTATATTTTGTGTTATCAATCTTTTATAAAGAAATTATTATCTGTAAATAAACGTTATGAAGATGAAACTAGTCGGCTTCTCACATATGCACCTCTCGTTTATTATATAAAGAATATAGCGATCATAAAATTTACACAATTTTATAATATCTTGCGTATGACAGAGTCTCGTACGGTCTCGCGCGTGCCATAATACATAATAAATCACGCGTATCGCATTCGTAGCACAGAATTTTCGCACACAAAAGCTCGGCAATTTCAGTTGGACGCAATTCGCGGTTTGTTCGCATAACTTTGACCATGCACAACACGTCGACGTATATATATGTACAGAAATCTTTAAAAATATATTATAATACATAAGTAGAGAGAATAGAATAAAAAAATGTATATAATTATATACAGTCCGGTGTGAACCTAAAGTAGCACACTTCTTACAAGTAAATCTTACAAGTTAATCTCGTTGAGATTCCGTCGAGACGCGTCCCCGACGCTTGACATTACGGTACTATAGATGATAATACATTCGTCGCGCGGAAAAAGGATCCTTAACGAATATAGATACAAAATGCACGGCCGGCAAGGGCCATCGAGTATCTCCGCCTGAGTATCATTACATCCTTTCTTTTTATGTCCCTCGGGTACTTTGTAAAAATTAAGCGTAATAGATTTTTCGATTCGCCATCAGTGATGTCGAGATGAAAAGATTCGGCAGTGTGAAAGTATGATCGTTAGGTTGTTTAGGATTTTTTACAATGATTTCGATTGAATCCATCAGCGCGTACTGATGTAAGTTACCGAGTTTATTATAATAAATCGATTTAATTCAAGTGCAAAAGCATGATGCGAGCGTTTTAATTGGTGAAATGTCCAAACTGCGTTCTATCAAGCAATACGGTTAACTTGTAATTTGTATTCAAGCGTCTAGTGCGTCCAACCGTTCACTATGAATATATATTTTTATGTACAATCTTTAACGTGCACCAATACGCGCTGATATATTCAACTGAATTTGCTATTAAAAGTCTTAAATTCTTATTGTTAGATTATGTCGGATCCTTGGATCCGGCTAGCTGCTTTAAAAACTTTGAACACTTGATTTGTCTTGCTATAGCATTTGAGCATTTTCAACTTAAACGTAGGGACTTGAGTCGTTCGTAAGAAGAGATGAGATTACGCTAGTAAAAGAACGAATATCGTCTAATAATACTTTCGAACTCATCGACATTCAGTTCAAATAATTTACAAAGTCGTAGGTCATTACATAAAAATGTGATAAAAAAAACTTATTTGGCACACACAGAGAGCGACGAATATTAACGTATGCCTTTAAATTATTCGTAAGATAAACGTAACGCGAAGCATTATTGCAATTTTGATTCAGATCACTTTGACTGATATAAACTAGATTCTCAAAAACTAGAAAGAATGTGAAATAATTAATATTATTTCGTTCGTTTTATTATTATTCACTATATTTTATCATATGATGAAATAATTAACCCTCGGAAGGCGGACACCGAGACAGCCGCGTGACTGTATGTGTTGCAAAACAAATGCTTACATGAAAATGTTATTTACTTGTGACTCATTTATTTGGCTATTTGTTTAGATTTAGAGCTCAAGTAGTCAAGACTCCTTGAGCCGTACAGTCTAAACAAAACAGCATGGGTCACGAGTGATCCGACGTCTGCCTCCGAAGGGTTAATGAAATAATGAATGAGTACGTATAAATTCGAGAAACTGAATTATAAAAAAACCTTTGGCTATGCCGATGTCGCACGATAAATTAAAACTTTTAAAAGCTAATTACTTCGTAATTTTAATTAAAAAAAAGTTATGCACTTTAGTTACGTGTTTTACATTATGCGAAAAACTGGGACATGACACTGAGAACTCCGGGAAGATCCCTGGTAGCGACGTCGTGCGACTGTCTTACTTGATGAACCTACACAATTTAGCATCATTATGAAAGTCACGAGTATTGTAGGCGTTTTCCTCCATTATCGGAAAATTCTCTTACCTTCCTAACTGCACATTAAGTTACAAAGATCTACGAAGTTCAAGAAACATGCAACGTAACGGTAAAGTATTGAGAAAAAAGACATTAGTCTTTTCTTGTCTCAAATGTCTTTCGAAGTTTTCACCAACCGTCTTAGTGTTTAAGTTTCCTGATCTTCCGAAATTAGAAAAAAAAAAAGGATCTGTAGATCTTCGTGAACGAATTGCAGCTGCGACCTTAAACGTAGGCCTCGGTGCGATGACCTCGTATCTGATGGAAGAATTGCTGCCAGCTGGTAAGCGTCTTCTTGGACCATACCCAGAAGCTGCTGGTAATGCCGACTATCATCGCCATGAGGTATTTGATCATGAAGATCTCGAAATCGGGTTTACGACCGAGGTCGCGGGTGCGCTCGCCGAGGGGACACGGCAACGAGTAGATCGACTGCGGGCCCGGTCGCGAGCACATCTCCATGTTCCACGTAAGCATCCATTGGTCGAAATATGCCTGCTCGTAGAAGAGGCATACGATCACGACCATGGCAGGTACGATGTAGAGCACGGAAAAGATGCCGATGCGAATCATGAGTTTCTCGAGCTTGTCAGTCTTTGTGCCGTCGTGCTTCATCACCGTCCGGATGCGGAAGAGCGAGACGAAGCCTGCCAGCAGGAACACAATGCCCAGAAAAAGATAAACGCACAGCGGTGCCAGGACGAAGCCCCGTAGAGCCTCCACGTTCCAAAGACCGACGTAGCAGACCCCGGACAATATATCACCTGTAAATTAAATTACAGAAATATAACGTAATTTATGAACATAATTTTTAACATAAAAATAATGTGTCTGAGAAACTTTCTTTGTTTAATTTCGTTTTATTAACTTTGAAAAAGAATGTGAAAAAAATTCTTGGAGTAATTCCTATTTGTACTTGTAATCAAGAGAATATCATAAAGCGATTGTGTATTTTACGTCTTTCTCGCGCAAAGTGTTACAATTTTTATGTTATAGCTGTCCAAAATTACCCACCTTCCACTTTTCCCATCGCTAGGATAGTAACGGTCTTCACAGCCGGCGCGGCCCAGGCGGCCAGGTGGAAGTATTGCGAGTTAGTCTCGATTGCTTCGTGTCCCCACTTTAATCCAGCCGCCAGGAACCACGTGAGGGTGAGGATGACCCACCAGATGCTCGACGCCATGCCGAAAAAATAGAGAATCATGAAGAGCACGGTGCACAATTCATCCTTGGTACCCTGAGCGATTATAGAAGCCATCTGTATTCGGATACCCATCGGCGGTGGGAACGGCTCCATGCACGATATCGAGTTGCCGGCTGCCCAGCCGATCACGTAAGCCAGTGCCACCATCAGGTAACATATGGACAAGAAAATGATAGGCCTCTCGGGATACCTGTACGAGAAATTAATGTTTAAAACTTGGAGATCTTGAAATTCTGGATTATTCAGATGTTTTTGAAACGCTTATAACATATAATAATGTAGTAGCTATAATTCTGATTCTCCAACAGATCAGCCCATTTTATCATCGATCATAAATTGATTTTATGCAACACGTGCATGGAAAGTGCCCCATTACGCACGCTACGCGTGCGTGATAGACCACTTTCCAGGCACTTGCAACATAAAATAGGGAGTGTAAGTCATGTGTAAAGATGAAAATTCCCGGGTGCGTAAACTCCTGTGTTACACAAATAACTATTATTTAGCAATCTCTATTTCCAAGTACTAAAACTGCTGTGCAACTTCTCCAATCTAACAATACTCTCATGATGTACAAATTTGTTAATTACCAAACATTTAATATATTTCACAAAAGCATGACGCAATTAAATTTCCAAAAAAATAAGCTGAGAGAAAGAGCTTTACCTAAATCTATCTCTATCAATGAGGAATGTCAGGAACGTGAAGAAGCAGGAAACGGCACAGACGGAGGCCCAAGTGCCGACCCACACCCTGGCGAACTTTCTCTGCCTCTCGGTGAAGAACATCCCGTCGCAGGGCGCCCCGCAGTCAGGCTCCACCTTGTTGTCCACCTTCAGCGAGTACCCTAATCCGTGAGGCACCTTGAACTGGACCGGGCACACGAAGCCGAAGTCCCTGGCACCCATGGCGAAACCGTTGCCACCGACAGTGCCGACGCCGCCGTAAGGCTTCAGTCCCTCGTTCCAGGGTGGCTGGAACTCCGCGACCGGCATGCGGGCCGGTGGATAGACCGGCGCGGCGGGCTCCTGGGGCGCGGTGGTCTCGTTGGTGCCCACGCAGAGCTCCGTGCCGCCGTTCTCCGGCATCTTGGCGCAGTCGAGGGCCTCCGGCCACGCGAAGCCGAAGCTGTTCATCAGGCTCTCGCAGCCGGAGCGGGCGCTCTCGCAGAGCGACCGGCACGGCGGTATCGCCTTGTCGATGATGGTGCAGACGGGCGCGTAGACGGTGCAGAGGAAGAAGCGCAGATCCGGGCTGCACTTCATCTTGACGAGCGGCATGTACTGGTGCACCTCCTGGCCGGCGTCCTCCTGCTTCTGATGATTCATCAGGTTCGGCATGATCGTCTCGTTGTACGGGATGTTCATGCAGAGATTGATGGTGATGGGCTCGCAGCGGCCGTGATGGGCGAGGGGATCACCGACGCCGCCACCGCCGCCGCCGTTTAGGGCGGTGGAGGAATGCAGGGCGGCGGTGACAGCCATCACGGACAGAAACGCGCCGATCATCGCCGTCCGCAGCATCTCTGGGCCTCCTCTCGTCGGGGACGGGCGCGCACCACCTCGTTGGGGGACACTCACGACCGGCGCCGACGGAACATGCCGATATTTACGCTCAGCGACCACGCGACGACGCGACGGCAAGGATGAGGATGACAGGACGGGTGAGGGTGGCGATAATGAGGGTGAAGGTGGTGGTGGACGCGCTCCCGGAGCAGCGGTGTAAACAGTTATGGCAGCCGTACGAGTGTCTTCAATGTCTCGGCGACGGCGTCGAGGGAGAAGGGAGGTCAGGGAGAATCCTCATCGCGCTCCGGGTGTCCAACAGCCAATTGGAGAACCCGCTTTCTAGAGACATTTTGGAATACGTCGTGTCGCGAATATACGTGCACATTCTGCGAGGCGCGCTCCCGTTCCTTCTCTAGATCGTTTCGACTCCGCGATCGTGGAACCCGGAATTTCAATGCGAGATTTAAATGCGATTTTTGCAAAGAAAAAGAATAAGAACAGGAAGAGGAAGAAGAAGAAGAAGAAGAAGAAGAAGAAGAAGAAGAAGAAGAAGA